AAAATAAAGCAGATTTTACTGAAATGCACAGGGTAATTTCCGTGACTGCTAAAGCATGCCTAACAAAATCCCACTCAAACCTTCTGGTGGAATGTACCATGAACAGAGCCTAGATTAAATGGGAGAGGGGCATTGGGAGAGGGGCTTCCTGCTGCCGATCAAACAGGAACCAAACTCTTATGGATGATATAAGAATGACCGAGCCAACAAACCATCACTGGATGAACACATGAATGAACACAGGACTGAATCTCTGGTGCGCCCCCTGCTCGGTCCTGCGTGTCCTTGCTCACACCTCATCATGAAATGGACCGCTCATCAGCCAGGGTGGCATCACCTGGTTTTAATTTTCTATGATTTTCATGTGGTGGACTGCCTGGCACCCCGACTGGGTGCCTCCGCCAATCGCTGCTTCCCAGTGCTTAACGAGTACCACAAGCACCGCACCAGACACCATCCTCACTGTAGTCCCCACTTCCAGTGTTACAGCTTGGCTGGGGTCTTCCTGTCCTCCACCCACCCTGGACCCAAGACCAGGATCCAGCTTCCAGTGGGTAGACCTCTCCTCCAAGAGAGTGTAGCAATATGCACTTAATAGAGCAAGTGATTATAATCCCAGTGATATGGAAATCCCCAGAGGATACAGCTGTTTCCCGCACACATGAGATGAGACTCTATGTTGAGGGTAAGCAAGAACTTGTTTAATGGCAGCCACAACTGGCCTTTTATGCAGGTCCCCGGGCAAGGGGCACTCCCCCCCCTCGATCTGAGAGTAAACCACAGTAGAAACAAATACACAATTACATTGGCTCTCAGATCCAGGACACTCCCATACATAATAAGATAATCCCTCTCCTGTGCCTGAGAGATAATTGAGTCATCCACTGTAGTAAACTCAAATACCTCCAGACACAGAAAACATAAATTTTTTAAAAACCCCAAAAAATACATTGAAAAACACAAAAACCCAACAAAGAATCCCCTGATAGCCCCGATCTGGGTGACCAACATATCCAGAAATCACCCAGATCGGTTCAGGGGTTCAGGAAATTCCTGGAAGTCATAGTTTGACCGACTGCACGCATGGTCCCATGCCCAAAACAGTTGCAGAGAATAAGGGCTTACGGTCGGTCTAGTTTGGTAGTTCACAATATAACAGAAATACGAATGCAATCATTTCATATGTACACTTAGTCTGTGTCTCGGGAGTGTGTTTCCACCGAACGCCGCTCTTCTCAAGTGAATCCAGTCGAATGTACGAAGAGATGGAAGCCCCAAACATTGCTGTATGTGTTCACGGCTAAAGATGGCCGTCGCCACATGTTCGCTCATACGAACAATGGCCACCAAGCTAACCACTTAGAACGTCGCGTTTAAACATAAGTCACAGAGATTAATGGGCTTCCCCACTCCTGTTTTGGGTGGTCCAACTGTTCGGTAACTGAATAGAGTAAGTACAATCCGTTCGGTAAGCCGCAAATACCGAACCATAACAAGGAAAAGGCACGAACAAAACCTTTCCACAGTCCTGAACCAAGGTCTAATACATGGGCCATAGTCCTGGGGCAAGAGAGGCGCCTCCAAGAACCAGTGGTGAGGTTACTTTCGCCACATTCCATAATTCATTAAACTGAGCCCTGACAAGGAAATTTAAATTTTAGCAAAACTGTAAAAATAAATTCTCCAACTCAGCATTTTTCATTTCAGCTGTTTTCTTTAACCACCCATCCTCTATCTCAGCCTGTGTGATGGGTCTTGGTAACTGAATGTTTGGGTTCAGGGGACTCCGTATAAATCCAAGAGGATCTTCCCTGTCCCCAAGATGTGCAGCAATAGAGGGATAATTACATCACAAATTTGTCACTCGAAGGGAACAAACTGGCAGAGAGGAACACACAGATTGTAGCAGGAAAACACAGTTTAGAAGTTAACAACAGTGGCAGGAGATTCCATAAAAGAGTTATTATTGATAGTGGTTTTTTAAGGTAGAACGCATGGGAAGAGAGTTTAAGCTGATAGAAAAGAAGCCTGAGTGGATGAATGAAGTCTGTTAAACAGTGGGTTACTGGTAAGATGCCTTATACGCTGATTGCTGGAGGTTAAAGGGACTTTTCTGGTGCTGTTATAAAGAATAATGAATATTTTGTTATAAAGGACTGTATCTTTGTGGAGAGCAAGTGGCATGTATTGATCCCTAAGATACAATTGTGACGAAAGCAACTTCGCCTCTGACTTTTGGAGGGGACTACTTGCCAGCTTTTTACCCTGTGACTATAGTCCCTGTGATAACACTTGCTGTAAATCACTGTTTGTGCCTTTTTTCCCTTCTATGGTGCAGTATATGGGGTTACCGAATGGATTAGACTTATGGTATTAGTTTACCGAACAATCTGTTGAACAGCCGGACCACCCGCAAGTGGAGTGTGCAGCCTGTTAACCTCCCAGAGTGGGAGGCATTGTTACATTATTTCTATTGGTCTATACAATTTGTGTCCTGTGCCCCATCAGGTCCAGTGGGTGTTCCTCTGGCCTGAAAAGTTGTATAAAAATCCAACCTGTACCATTAAACTCTCAGATCATCTTGCACCTTCATGAAGTTTCGGCTCATGTTTGGAGGATTGGAGAACTACGCTCTGGCAGTGGCGGATCCAGAGCCTGATCTTGGGAGGGGCACTTGTAGATTATTTAAAGAAATAATCCAGGCACAATAACCACTACAGCTCAGTGTAGTAGTTATGGCGCCAGTAGTGCCAGGATCCCATCCCAGAGTAAGTAGTCAAACTGTTTAAGAACAGTTTGACAACTTACCCTCCCCCATCTTCTGGGATATAGGGCATAGGAGCAGTGGTATGTGTTAGGGGTGAAGTGTGTGTGAAAGGTGCAGTGTGTGTGAGCGGTGAAGTGTGTGTGCGAGTGCGTGAGGGTGGCAGTGTAGGTCAGGGTTGCAGTGTGTGTGTTAGGGGGCAGTGTATGTGTGGGGCAGTGTGTGTGTGAGAGAGCTGCAGTGTGTGTGTGTGTGTGTGTGTGAGCAATGCAGTGTGTATGTGAGGGTGGCAGTGTGTGAGAGTTGCAGTGGGTGTGTGTTTGGAGCAGTGTGAGTATGGGGGGCAGTGTGTGTATGGGGGCAGTGTGTGTAGTGTGTGTATGGGGCAGTGTTTGTGGGGCAGTGTGTGTAGTGTGTGTATGGGGCAGTGTTTGTGGGGCAGTGTGTGTAGTGTGTGTATGGGGGGGCAGTGTGTGTAGTGTGTGTATGGGGGGCAGTGTTTGTGGGGCAGTGTGTGTAGTGTGTGTATGGGGGCAGTGTTTGTATGGGGGGGGAGGGAGGGTAGGGAGGCTTTTTTTTAAAAATTTTAAATTTAATTTAAATAAATATATTGATGTCCTCCCTCCCTTCTTACCTTTACTGGGAGGAGGAGGGACATTCTGGCTCCCTGGTGGTCCATGGGCAATCCCTGGTGGTCCCAGTGGTGGTGAGGTGAACTCTAGCCCGCGCTCCAGCGCTAGAGTTCACTCTTGCAAGATTTGGAGCGTTGCCGTGGTAACCGCGGCAACGCTCCATGCTCGCGAGAGGAGGACCCGGAAGAGCTGCAGGCTGAGCTCCCAGGTCCTCTCTCCCTCCCTCCCCTGCCGGCTGTCAGCACGATGCCTGCATAACGGGGAGGGAGATCTGTGATCTCCCCTACGGTCCGCAGGCACATTGCAGGGCTGGCACTTGGACAATGCCAGCCCTGCATTAGCCAGCAGGGGAGAATATCGGGGGGTGGGGGCAATTGCCCCGTTGAACCCCCCTGGATCCGCCACTGCGCTCTGGGGATTGCTATAATCACTATAGTCCCCTGAGTATAAACACTAAGCTCTTGTAAGAGCTGTTCCTGATACACTCTCTGGACTAGGAGAGGCCTACCCACTGGAAGCTGGATCCTGGTCTTGGGTCCAGGGTTCATGGAGGACGGCGAGACCCCAACCAAGCTGCGGTGGTTTGTGGGGTTTACGGTGGTTATGGTGCTCCAGTGCAGTGCTTATGGTACTCACCAGTACTAGGAAGCAGCAATTGACGGAGGTACCCGGTCGGGGTGCCAGGCGCTCCATCACAAAAATGAATGTTTATATGCTAAATTGGATATTAATCTGAGTTTGAAAAATCAGAGAGATCAGAAATCTTTGCTATATAATCTTATATCATGTGTTTAGTAGAAACGTTACTTATAGTGTTAGAGTGGCTTCAATAGTTACCTCAAAAACATCCAGGAGCCTTATTTACAAGCAATATATTGAATAAGGGCACTTCAACTTAACAGTGAACATCTTTAAAAAGGAAACTTAAGAAGTGATACATCCAAGGTTCCAAGGCGAGGTTTCAGTTAATAGAATTGAGGGAAACCACAGCAACATAATCTCAAGAAGAAGCCAACAGTGACTATCCACGGAATGATCAAGGGATCTTCTAGATGGCCCGTCTGTTCTCATGGAAAAGTTTTGTCAGATTTGCAAATATTGGCTAGTAGTAAAAGCTAATAATAGATCGGGAGGGTGTACAGATAATGAGTGCGTATGGATGTGTGGTCTTTTTATCCTTGTCATTCTCATGCAGCATCAAACCATAGTATACACACCAGGATAGGTGATCAATGTATCACAGTTTTTCCTATAAAACTATATTTTGTTACTGAAAACATGTCCCCTCTTGTTACAGCTTCCTGCTGTCCCTTTAAACTGCAGGATATTAACAGATTGTGATAGAATAATCTTAATAAGAAAATCTTCCTTAAAATGAAACATTATTCTGGTGACCCTCCTGATCCTCGTAGGCCTTTCATTTATGACAGATATAAAATCTGAATTCGTTCCAAATCCACATTTAGCCCAGTTTGCATGTACCTGGAAAACACAAGCAATTGTGTAATTGGATCTCACTTTGCAAGTGTCGTTCGTGCCAACTCACGGAGCATATTGCGGTAGCATCGATCTTCATTAAGGGCACATCGCTGCCAGACACTCTCAGTTACTTTATAGGTGGGATTCTTCTAAATATCAATCTTCAGTATAAACCTACAGGCACAAGGAAATCTGTTCATCATAAAATGGATTCAAAGCACATCATCGCTACAATAATCATTCGTCTTCTAGCGTTATTGACTAAACTCCACATTCTAGTGAATCAAGTCCAAATTTTAAAACTCAGGTAAAAATATTGTAAAAACCTGCCTTCGTCCTATGTCCCAAATGTATATGACTTAAGATTTATATTTATAGTAAGTATTGCGAGCACATAAGGCAAAAAGACTGTGCTGTAATCAGGACCGGGCTGGGGGGAAAATTCAGCCCGGGCATTTTTGAATCACAGTGTTCACTGAGTGGGGCGAGGGCCAGAGAGAGGGGGTGTTTTGTCAGCACCAATGACAAGCACACCCCCTCTCAAAGTGAGCATGTTGGTTCAATGCGCAGAGCTCTCGCATGAAACAAAAAGGCCCCGTATTTGTTCTGCGCAGCGCAAGCAAATGTATTAACATGCTTGCGCTGTGTTTGCTTGTGTCATGTCGCCGGTGTCTCCATAAGAGGGATACCAAAGGACAAAAGTGTAAAGAAAGCGTATTGTGTATGTGTTTAGAGCCTGCTTATGGGATTGCGTGTGTGTAGAGTAAGCTGATTGTGGTGTGGTGTTTTGTGTAAAGGTCAATTTCAGTTGTGTTGTGTTTGTGGTGTAATATGCATGGTTAGGGGCTGTAGAGAGTGAAAGAGTGTGAGTATAAGTGATATAGCGAGTGTGTGCATAGGGGCTGTAGTGTATGTGTGTATAGATGATGTAATGTGTGTAGGGGCTGTAGTGTATGTGTGTATAGATGATGTAGTGTGCATAGGGGCTGTAGAGTATGTGTGTATAGATGATGTAATGTGTGTAGGGGTTGTAAAGTGTGTGTGTTTAGGGAAAGTAGTGTGTGTTTGCTTACAGGGGATCTAGTGTGTTCATAGGGGATCCAGAATTTGTATGTCATTAATGTAGTGTGTGTAGATGGTGCATTGTGTGCCTATAAGGGATCTATTGTGTGCGTAGGGGATCTACGTGTGTGGAGGACCCAGGGTGTGCGTAGGAGATTTAGTGTGTGTGTGTATAGAGGATTCAGAGTGTGTATAGGGATTCTAGTGTGTGTATGTGTGTGTGTAGAGGATCCATAGTTATGTATCGGATTTAGGGTGTGTGTATAAGGGATGAATTGTGTGTTTCTGGAATGTAATGTGTGTAGGGGATGCACTGGGTGTGAAGGGTGCACTGTGTGTGAGGGATGCAGGGTGTGAGGAGTGCACTCTGTGTGTAAAAGGTGCAGTGTGTGTGTGAGGGGTGCTGTGTGTGTGAAAGGTGCAGTGTGTGTGTGTTTGAGGAGGGTGTGTGTGTGGGGGGGTGTAGTGTGGTGTTTGGGGTGCACTGTGTGTGAAGGGTGCACTGTGTGTAAAGGGTGCCCTGTGTATGAGGCGTGCACGCTGGGTGCCGAGGGTGCAGTGTGTGTGTGAGGGATGCAGTGTGTGTTTGAGGGGTGCAGTGTGTGTGTGTGTAAAGTGTGCATTGTGTGTTTAGGGTGGTGTTTAGGGTGCAGCGTGTGTTTATGAAGAGTGCACAGTATGTAAAGGGTGCTGTGTGGTGTTTGGGGTGCAGTGTGTGTGAAGGGTGCACTGTGTGGTGTTTGGGGTGCACTGTGTGTGTGAGGGGTACACTGTGTGTTTGGGGTGCAGTGTGTGTAATGGGTGCTGTGTGGTGTTTGAGGTTCTGTGTGTGTGAAGGATGCACTGTGTGGTGTTTGGGGTGCAGTGTGGTGTTTGGGGTGCAGTGTGTGAGAGGTGCTGTCTGGTGTTTGGGGTGCTCTGTGGTTTTTGGGGTGCAGTGTGTGTGAGAGTGCACTGTGTGTTTGGGGTGCTCTGTGGTGTTTGGGGTGCAGTGTGGTGTTTGGGGTGCAATGTGGTGTTTGGGGTGCAGTGTGGTGTTTGGAGTGCAGTGTGTGTGAGGGGTGCAATGTGCTGTTTGGGGTGCTCTGTGGTGTTTGGGGTGCAGTGTGGTGTTAGGGGTGCAATGTGGTGTTTGGGGTGCAGTGTGGTGTTTGGAGTGCAGTGTGTGTGAGGGGTGCAATGTGCTGTTTGGGGTGTAGTGTGTGTGTGTGTGTGTGTGTGTGTGTGTGAAGAATACAGTGTGGTGTTTGGGGTGTAGTGTGGTCTTTGGGGTGCTGTGGGGTAAAAATAAAACATATATATTTGTAGTTTTTTTTCAATTTGACAATTTTTATTTTTGTCGGAAGATAATGGTTCAGAGGGGTACAGAAAGGAAAAAAGGGGTGGGGGGGTTCAGGGGGTTGCATTTAAAACCTGTTAGGATTGACATTACAGTTGATCAAACCATTTGTTAGCTTTCGTACAATTCCTGACAGTTCTATGTGCTTACATTGTGTAGTACTGATTGTGCTTCCAGACGTTTACATATGGGTTGTACAGTGGGTTGAGCGAGTTATTGTACCCTGCCCTGCGCATCCTCTGTGAGATGAGGCGTGGTACTTATTGTCCCTACATGTGGGTCTTCCCATGGTGGTGAGCAGGGTGTGCTAGTCCCCTCAAAAGAGTCACAGATACAGTTAGTATGCCCGTTCGAGGGGGGAAAAGGTCTCCGTTGTGGAGGGCTATGAGTTGTCTGGCCATCTTTCCCTTGCGAGCTAATTTGGTCGCTGCTGGCCGACTTTTCTGGTCGTCTATGGTATATGAATTTTTTTTTTTTTTTTGCCTTCTCAGACTATCTGAGGTTGTTCCTCGGGTGTGTACCCCTGAGCGGGGCCAGGTATAGGAGGAGGAGGGGAAGGGGTGTAACAGGGGGAGGAAAGGATAACTAGGATAACTGGGATAACTAATGTGTCATGTGTGGCTGCTATGAACCATCGAGGTTCTGTTCTGACATAGTTGTATCAGTGTTGGCAGTGCCCCTAGCTGCAGCTTGGAGAGTTCTTTTATCTATGTATGTGGTCCACATCTTTCTCGCTGTATCGCTCCCTTTGCCTGTTTTTGTTTGGTTCCACATTATCACCTCATAGTCCAGGGTGGTAGTGACCATTGCTGTCACCTCCGCCATGGAGGGGATCTGGGGGGTTTTCCAGTGTTTTGCCAGTAAGGTGGACGCTGAGGTGAGCGTGAGGAACATCAATTTAGTTATGCTGTGGGGTATGTTGGCAGGCAGAAGTTTGAGCAAAAATGTTTCAGCGTTATGTTCAAGAATACAACCTGTGGCTCCTCTTATTATCTCTGCTATTCGTGACCAGTATGGTTGGACCTGGGCACATGACCACCAAATGTGTAGCATGGACCCTGTTTGGGTCAGGCATCTCCAGCATTTGTCACTCATGTTAGGGTAGATTTTCTTAAGTTTCGTAGGTACCAGGTACCATCTATATATTAGTTTGTGTGAGGCTTCCAGGTGCGAGGCGCACGATGTGAGTCCTCTGTGGTTAGCATATATGTGGTTCCAGTCGACTGGTGTGAGGGTTCTATTGATATCTCTGTGCCAGTCTTTTTGAAATTGCCACTCCGGATCTGGCTTATGTGCGTTTATGTGTCTGTAGCACACTGATAATGTTTTTTGGGTGGGGGTGAGGTGTAGACACATTTTTTCGAATGGAGTGAGGTTGGGAACTAATTGGGGCGGTGGTTCCTTGCCCGTATTGTTATCTAGGAGTGTTTTCAATTGCCAATGTGAGAATGTCAGTTTGGCTGAGATATTGTATTTGGTCTGCAGTGTTAAGAACGGGAGCGGGCCATTTTCGGTGCAAATTTGATGTAGGTGTGTGATGTTGTGGGCTTGCCATGTTTTGTAAGGGAACGTGTTGTTGTGGAGTGCAATTGTTTTTAGTGGTGTTGCCATCGACCATGGTGTGGCTGAACAGAATGCAACCCTGTGGTTGTCCCATATGTTGTATAGGAGTTTCGTGGTGGGTAGGGTGTCTCGGGGAACATTGCGTAGTGTCTTAGGCATCCACATAGCAGCTGCTAGGTCTGTTTGTCCTCCGCAGCTAGCTTCGATGGAGATCCACTGGGGGGTGTAAGTGGTGGAGTGCATTTGGAGCATGTTGGCGATGTGTGTTGCATGGTAGTATGCCCTAAGGTCAGGGAATCCCAGACCTCCCTTTTCCGGGTGTCTCATTAATAAAGCTCTTGGGACTCTGGGACGTTTTCCTCCCCAGCTAAATTTAATCAGGAGCGATTGTAGTCTTTGGATGTACGTCTGTTGTATGGGGATTTGTAGGGAGCGGAACATATAGAGGATTTTCGGTAATACCGTCATTTTGATGGCCGCAATGCGGCCTAGCCATGAAAGGAACTTGTTTTGCCATGAGTGTAGCGTTTGCTCCACTTCTTTGAGGAGCTTGATATAGTTGGCTGCAAATAAGCCTGAGTGGTGTTTTGTTAGCTTAATGCCTAAGAATGTCAAGTAGTCGGTCCTCCAGTCATAGTTGAAGTTGTGTTTGAAACGTTCCTCCTCCGATTTGGACATGTTTATGCACATGGCCTGTGTTTTGGTTAGGTTCAGCTGGTAATATGAGTGCGTGCTGTATTCTGTTATTTCTTTGTGGAGGTTGGGGAGTGAGATTGTCGGGTTGGTTATCGTGAGGAGTATGTCGTCCGCAAAGAGGTTCAGTGTGTAGTCCCTGTCGCCTATTGTTACCCCTTTGATGTTTTGGTTATTTCTGATGGCTATTGCTAGCGGTTCCAACGCTAGCACGTAGAGCAAGGGGGATAATGGGCAGCCTTGCCTGGTGCCGTTGGTTATTGTAAAGGGGGCAGAACTGAACCCTGAATTGAGAACCGTGGCCGTTGGGGTGCTGTACAGAGCTCTTATCATGTTTTGGAAGTCCGGTGGGAACCCGTATCTCGACATCACCTCATGTAAGAATTGCCAATTGAGACGGTCAAATGCCTTCTCAGCGTCTAGGGAGAGGAGCGTGCTCTGTAGTGTGGAGCGGTTAAGGTAGTGAAGTATGTCCAATACTTTCCGGGAGTTATCTGGGCCCTGTCTGCCTGCCACGAATCCCACTTGGTCTGTTGAGATCAAACTAGGCAGGAATGTTTTGAGCCTAGCCGCATATATTTTAGCATATAGCTTGGCGTCGGCATTTAGCAGGGAGATAGGTCTAAAATTTGGGCAGATCGTTGGTGGTTTACCCGGTTTGGGTAGGGTTATAATGTGTGCTGCTAGGAATTCGGGCGGTAGGGTTC